GTATGTGGTGCTGAGGATCGAACCCGGGCCGCACGCATGCCAGGCAAGCGCGCTACCGCTTGAGCCACATCCCCAGCCCCGGTATTGGTTCTTAAGGAACATAAACTTTATCTTTACAAAGTACTTCACTATCAGCCTTTTTGGCACTTACTTCCACCAACAGTTTGGGTTTTCTGAATTTTTAAAGTGAAGCTGTTAAAAGTGACTGGCTCCAGAGCCATATTGCTTGAGTTCAAATCCTGGCTTCATCATAGATAAGTGGTATGCCCTTGGGAAATTTATTTATTTAACCTCTCTGTTCAGTTTCATTATCTGCATAAGAGGGTAATGGTGGTATCTACTTGGGAAGGTTGAATGAGAATCAAACAAATTAACATACATAAAATGCTTAGAATAGTGCCTGGCACATAGAAAGAGCTCAGCATGGCCATCTCTGGTCATGATAAAGGTGATTATAGTGTCTTTTAGGGAACTAATGCTCAGGGATGAAGGCCAAGGCAGGATCCAGGGAATATTTATAGAGCCATACCAGTTGGTCCTGTACCACAGCTGCCATTGCCAGCTGAAATCATCCGACCTTCATTTATAACACCTGGAAAATATGAGTCTACAGTGCCACCCAAGGTGATACCCATATGACTACTGAGTCCTTGAAATATGGCAAATCTGAATTGAAATGTTCTGAAGGTAAAAAGTACCTAACTTGCATTTTGAACACCTAATTTTAAAAAAAGTGAAATATCTCATCAACAGTTTTTATATTGATTACATGTTGAAATTATATATTTCCAATATACTGGGTTGAAATGCATATTATTAAAAATGGTTCTTGGGCCAGGCATGGTGGCACATGCCTGTAATTCCAGTGGCTTGGGAGGCTGAGGCAGGAGGATTAATAGTTCAAAGCCAGCCTCAGCAACAGTAAGGTGCTAAGCAACTCATTGAGACCCTATTTTTAAATAAAATACAAAATAGGGTGTGGGAATGTGGCTGAGTGGTTGAGTGCCTCTGAATTCAATTCCTGGTACCCCACCACCACCACCACCACCAAAAAAAAAAAAAAAAAAAAAAAAGTTTCTTGGTCTAGGGATTTAGTTTAGTGGTAAAGATGTGCTTTGCATGAAAAAGACATTGGGTCCAATGGCTCACTTTTATTACTATGGCTCATCTCTTATTACTATTAGGTAGTTCTACTCTAAAGACTTTGGTTATATGCAGGTTGCCAATTTATTTGGCTAGTGATATGAAAAAGGATTTTCATGTTAATTCTATGCTTTTTAAAAAGTTTCATGTAAGTAGCTGGGTATGTGGTGCATATGCAACCTGTAATTCTATGACCCAAGATGGTGAGGCATAAGATTGCAGGTTTGAGGCCAGAGTCAGCAAGTTAAAAGGCCCTAAGCAACTTAGTAAGACCCTGTCTTAAAATTTAAAAGTTTCAAAAAGGTCTGGGGATGTAGCTCTGTGGTAAAACACACCTGGGATCAATCTCCATTACAAAAACAAAACAAAAAAAATTCATGTGGTAAAAATTGGTGGGTTTTGGCATAAATTTGATGAATTTTAGCACATATGTAAATATATCCACCATCATATGCAGTATATGGTTCTTTTATTTTCAAAAAAAAAAAAAAACCGTAAACATTCTAAGTGTATTACACATTCCAGGATCAATAAAGTGATACAAAGCTACAGGAAGAGCCTCTGTATCATATTCACATAGTCATTAGTGCAGAGTTTGCACCTGTTGCATGAAGACATGCATAGCTTGGACTACACAGTTTGAAATTTGTATTTAAATATTTTTGGTCTGAAGAAAAGTACTTCTGTTCAGACACAGTCTCCAGAAGCTTCTGTTGCCTTTCATTTTTTCCATTTGACTTAGTTATATTTCTTAGTTGACTTCTCTAAGTATTTTAATTTGTAATCCTCAAGCCCTGGAGTACATACTGAGATAAAAATAGTGAATAAGACTCCGCTTCTTAACCTGTATAGAAACTGACTGGGGACATGCTAATATAGTTTTTACAATTATTGGAGAAACAGTTATTTAGCCTAGGGATGGATCAGAATAACTGTTTCATCTTCCCACCCACTATAATGGTAAGTCCCATGGTCATCCTTTGCCCATCCTAGTGTTTGCCTCTGTAAGACAGTTCTGATGACTGTACTTCCTCACATGGCAGTATCTGGTATCTCTTTCAGGGGGCACCGAAGAACACCTCCCAGTACTGTCATCTTCTTCAGACCAGTCTGAGACTTCCTCTGGGGAGAACCATGTGGTGGATGGAGCCTCCCAGGACCTTTCCCACTCAGAGCAGGATGATTCCTCTGAAAAGATGGGTCTCATCTCTGAAGTGGCCTCTCCTCCCGAGAGCCCCGAGCAGCCCTCACTTGACCTGGCCTCAGCCATCAGCAACTGGGTTCAATTTGAAGATGACACACCCTGGGCCAGCACCTCACCATCTCCTAAAGAAACAGGTGGGGAAGGCAGGAAGAAAAGGTCTGCCTTGGTATGTGCTCAGTAGGATGCTTTTCTGTGGGAAGTATTTAGGGCTGCCAGGATTCTATTTTATTTGCTCCAGCATAGGAGAAAGTAGACAGAGATCTCATCTGGTTTAATTATATAGTGTTTTTTTCCCAATATTTTCCCAGTTGTAATGGACATAATATCTTTATTTTATTTATTTATTTTCATGTGATGCTGAGGATCAAACCCAGTGCCCCACATGTGCAAGGCAGGTGCTCTACCACTGAGCTACAGCCCCATACACACAAAACAATTTACATGTTCTGGGCATTTTCAGCCTTTTATCCTTGTCCTTGGCTGTTGACTTGTCTTTAGAAGAATACATGTATTTTTAAAACTATTAGGAATTGGAGTTATTTACGTATCTAAATTGTAATTTCCTTATGCATATAAATGAATGTCTCTCAAAGAGTAGATCACTAACCATGTCTTGTAGAGTCCCCAGTGAGATTAGTTGAACATGGAGATTCTCATATCTCAGACTACTGAATGGATTCCAAATCTTCAGGAGTGAAGATGGTTGAAACTGGTAAAGCACTGATTTTGTGGCATTTAAATGGCTAGAAGCTGTACTGAGAAACTCAGAGAAGCCAGTTGTTAGTTCCCTTTCTGGCAGCCTGGCTATTTATTGTTGTGTCATGTACTGAAACATCAAAGGTGATTGGATAACTTTTGAGTCTATATTAGTTTCTACTTGCTGCTATAATAATGTATCACAAACATAGTAGCTTAAACAACATGAGACTATATGATTTTACAATTCTGTGTCCTGGGTGTCCTGGGATGTTGTCAAGACTGCATTCCTTTCTGAAGGCTCTAAGGGCAAATCTATAACTTGGCCCTTTACAGCTTCCAGAGGCTGCCTACATTTTTTGACATGTGACCACCCTCTTTGTCTCTAAATCCAGGCATGTAGCATCTCTCTGTCTTACAAAATGACATCTTTTTTAAAAAATATTTTTTAGTTGTTGATGTACCTTTATTTTTTATTTATTTATGAGGTGCTGAGGATCGAACCTAGTGCCTCACATATGCTAGGCAAGCACTCTGCCACTGAGCCACAACCTCAGCTCACAAAATGACGTCTTTTTTGCCTCTCTCTTCCATTCTGAAGGACCCTCTGAAAAGATGGGTCTCATCTCTGAAGTGGCCTCTCCTCCCGAGAGCCCCGAGCAGCCCTCACTTGACCTGGCCTCAGCCATCAGCAACTGGGTTCAATTTGAAGATGACACACCCTGGGCCAGCACCTCACCATCTCCTAAAGAAACAGGTGGGGGAGGCAGGAAGAAAAGTTCTATCTTGGTATTCTTTGTACCACAAGAATAATTTCCTCATTTTTCTGTTTGTAAGGCAATGTTTTCTGGTTTAACTTTATACAAATTATTTGTTTTTCAAATATATTTTCAACACCAATAAAATGATTTTTAAGAAGATATAAAACATGGTTCAACCATATAATAAACATTTCAATTTTTACATAATAATTTGCACCTTTGTGTATACTTTTCATATGTAAGTGTGAGCTTTTCAGTGAATTATTGTGCTACTCAAAGGAGCATGGATGATGTGACAGGTCCAACAGGCTTCCACTCTGGCTGGGGAGGGTGGAAAAGACCCGTTTTGAATATCTTAACATTGCTAAGGCACTGATCTAAGCATTTTTACATGCAGTGGAAAGTTATTGAACTCTGGTACTATAGTTCGAATGTTTTGTCTCTCTAAATTTGTTGAAATCAAATCCCCAATATGTTGATATTAAAAGGAGGGAAGACTTTGGGAGGTGAATAGGTCATGAGGATGGAATCCTTGTGATTGGGAGTAGTGCCTTTATAAAAGATACTTGAAGGAGCTGTCCCCACATTTGACAACATAGTGTTTGTCCTTTGTGCTATGTGAGGGCACAGCTAAAATTAAGGAATGGGTCCTCACCAAACCCTGAATCTGTTAGTGCCTTGATCTCAGACTTCCCAGTTTCTAGAATGGTAAGCAATAAATTTCTATTGTTCATAAATTTCCCGGTCTAAGGCATTTTGTTATGGCAGCAGAAACAGACTAAGAAAATAGTAATGAATAAGTACAGAAGTATATATTTTTTTATTTTTAACAGGATACTTTTTTTTTTTTCCAGTACTGGAGATTAAACCTAGAGCTTTGCATAAGCTAGGCAAGTGCCCTACCACTGAGCAACATCCCAGATCTTTTATTTTGTTACTGTTATTTTATTTTGAGATAGAGCTTCACTGAGTTGCCCAGGCTGAACTTAAACTCACAGTCCTTCTGCCTTGGCTTCCCAAGTAGCTAGGATTGCAGGCATGTGCCACCATGCCCAGCTAATAAGATATATTTATTGAATACTTACTCTCTTAGGCACCATGATAAATACTTTAACTCTGTCATCTCATATACTCTTTATAGTAATCATATGAAAAATAGACAAAAAATAGGTAATTCATTGTATGAATTACCCATATACAGTTTTCCAGTACCTTAGCAATGGTCAATCAGATGGCTTTCAACGTTTTTTTGGGGGGAGAGGGGGTGCTAGAAATGGAATCCAGGGACACATACATGCTATGCAAGTGCTCTACCACTGAGCCACACCCCCAGTCCCAGCTTTTATGAATTATATTCATAATACGAATTATATTCATATTTCTGTGAGGAGACTGAAACAGGTAGTGGTTTGGGAATGTGCCCAACATTGTGCACTAGGAAGCAGCAGAAGAGAGCTCCATTAACTGACCCCAGAATCTTGGAACAGCATAGGGTGTGCTGTGTAATTTGTGCCTTTCTCTTCCTTTTGTTGCTGCTTTGGAGCCTTCTGCTCCTTTCTTACAGGGGAGGTGAGGCCAGGCATAGGAGGCGAAAGGTAGGTGGGATTGTGTTTCTCCACTTGCCCTAAAATAGCCATACCTTTAGGTCACTGATTATATTCATAGCATTCAGATTTTTTACATCTTTTTCATATCTTACCTTTAGCCTCATCAAAGATTTTGTGGTTGCTCAAAACTGTTTATATATCAGATGGGTCAGTTTGCTTCTCTTCCCCATTTATTATTGTAAAACTAATTTGGGGGTAAGTCTTAATTATGTTGCCCCCATCTAAGGATTCTATCCTATTTACAATGGTTTTAATGTATTGGTAAAACTTTATTCTTTAAGGCTACAGTTGCCTATTGACCCCAGGGACTTGCCAAGGGGTCTGTATGGTCAAAATTATTTTCATAGTAATTCTAAGATTTTATTTGCCCTTTTTACTGCATTGGCATTTGCATTGATGGTACAAAAGTAATAGTGAGTTTAATTTCTGGCCTTTATGTACTCATAATAAAGAAAACCCTTCAATTTCACTTAACAATATACTTGATGAAGTAGTACAAAGTATTAATTTTATTGAATCTTGATTCTTCAGTATATCTTTTTTAATATCCTTTGTGATATATTGGAAAATAAACAAAACACTTTTGCTCCATAACAAAGTGTAGTGGTTATTTGAAGGGTGCTTATCTTGTAAAAATTGGAGTATAAATTGTTTTTTAAAAATTTAATCATTTAAAAATGAGAATTATTTAAAATTATTTTTAAAACTTAAAACAATGCAAAAATATACTCAATGAAAACAATATCCATATTTTAAAGACAAGATCCAGTTAATACTTGCATGACTCTGATACACTAATCCTGGTTCATTCTAGTAAAACTTTATTTATAAAAATAGGTGATTAACCATTTGTCTATAGTTTGCTACTTTGATTTTTTGAAATTATTACATTAGAGTATCAGTTTATGACTGAGTTTTTTGCATCCCCTTAAATTTTGTACCCAAGGCAAGTGTATCACTTGTTTTACCCTAATCCCAGCCCTGAAGTGTTCTAAAGATATGATATTTATTAGTATTGCTAAGAAAAAAAAAATCAAGAAATGACAACTTTCAAATGCATGAAAGCATAATTTTGGCTTGAAAATTGCTCAGACATTAATATCCATCTTTTTCATGTATGAAAAGTTCACTCAACCTTGCCTTAGGAAGAGCCTGTAGGATGATTTGCCAGCAGACTTGATTCCTGATGAGTAGGCAAACAGCATGAATAAGCTTGGTGTAGGACTAGCCCTGCAAGCAGACACACACACACACACACACACACACACACACTTTTTCTCACACACGCAGTGCTTCTAGCCTGTAAGTCTAAGAACCACAGAGGATTCTGCAACAGAAGAGTAGTTAAAAAAAAAAAAAAAAAGGAAATAAATTTAAGAGTCAAATCCTAAATCTCTTGCTAGTATCCAGTTTGACTCATTAGTGAACCTACTAAATAAAAGGCTGCAGAATACATTCCTTTTACTCAAACTCCCCAGATTTCCTCCCTTAGGGTATGTTTAACAATAAGGAAGAGTGCTTGGTAGAACTGAAACCAAGTGATAAGCAGAAGAAGCTAGGCCTTTAGTCCACTCAACATGGATAATGTGACATTGCTCAAGTTAGACAATTGTTCTATTCTGAAGGTTGTTAGGCAGCTCAGACTTTAATTTGAATCTGAAACATCTGGATACATGTGCTGTGTCAATAATACCACATATATAACTATAGTCATTACACAGAAATAACCCTGATGTGCAGCAAATATCCTCCTGCTGATAGACATCTTGAGACTTCTTGCACACACTCCTATATGCCCTGTTCATTGGCTGTGTTTAATTTTGAGATATGATAGGCTGAATAACAGTACCAAAAGACATTAGGTCCTAGTTCCTGGAACCTAAAAATCTTATTTGGAAAAAGGGTCTTTGCAGATGTGATTAAGGATTCTGAGATGGGAGATGATCCTGGTTATATATGGGGTTGCTAAATACAAATATGTGCATTTTTATAAAAGAATGCCAGAGGAAGCTTTTGCCCACACAGAGAAGACAATATGAAGGTAGAACTTAAAGATTTGAAGATGTTGGTCTTAAAGATTAGAGTGATAAAGCCATAGTCAAGGAATACCAGGAGCTACCAGAAACTGGAAGAGGCAAGGAATAAATTTTCCCCTGAGCCTCTGGAGGGAATATGGATCTGCTGACATTTTGATTTTGGCAAAGGGATTCTGATTTCAGATTTCTGGCCTTCAGAACCATGAGAAAATAAATTAGGTGTTGTAAGTTATCAAGGAAACTAATGCACTGTTTCTAAATTTTTTTTTGTTGTTGCTTTGGGGTGTGTGTGTGTGTGTGTTGGGGTTTGAACTCAGGAGTGCCTTACCATCCTCTGTCCTTTTTATTTCTTTATTTTGAGATAGGTTCTCACCAAGTTGCTGCCTTGGCATCCTGAATTGCTGAGATTACAGGCACAGGAACCCAACCTCTAGATTATTATTCTTTTTTTTTTCCAATTATAAATTCTTAAAGTGGAACCATTTGCATAAGGCTGAAAAATAAGTCAGTGTGGGCCAGAGGGCATCTCTAATAGCACGGCCATTTGTTAAGTTCTATGCTTGCCACTATGCTTTATCTCTAAGCCTTATAACCCTTTATAATTTTTTCATTGAATCACTCATATTAAGTCCTTATTCTCTGCAGTTTTGCTAGGTGTGGGTATTCAAAGACATATTTACTGCTCAGAATATAACAAACATTGAGCTTCTTCTTGGGTCCTCTAGTAGGAAACAACCTGTGCCCTCATGATTTCCTCCATCTGCTTCTAGTTGATAGTCAACTGCATGTCTTTTCATGCATGTCTTTCTACCACAGCATGTCTTTTTGTTGTTAATGTTTTTCATTTCATGGTAGCTGAGAATTTGGAACTAGCACTGAAAAAGCAAAGGAAGAGGTAGTGTTGAAAGAATTGCTTGCCTGAGAGTTTCATTTTTATAGCCAGATCCATCTATTGTCTTTTCTTGTGAAAAATTAAATCAGAACTCAAAGTGCTTTTCCTTGTTAGTTATCATTTACTTTTGGAGCTTCCTCAAAGCTTCTACTCAAATTTTCCCTAAACTAGTGGTGCCTACTTAGAAATCACAGAAAGGTGCCCAATTTACATAAGATATGTGGCCATCTCGTGCTGTTTAGTCTAATCTGACAACAACAACAAAAAAATGATTTGTGCATCAATTTCTGACTTATCTACTACCCTAAACTGTTCTTTATCCATTAATTTCCATAAGTCAGGTCCTGGATCTTTTTGGTGCCACAGTTGCATTTTTTGTGTATCAAGCAAACTTTTTTAGTATGGATAACTCAGAAGTGAAATGGAATTGGGACAAGAGAAATGTTAGACATGCTGTGTTT